GTTCCAAAATTGTGAAGGTCACAGTCATAACTTTGAAGTAGTAGATAATTTCGTCTATCTAGGAAGCAGCATCAACACCAATAATAATGACAGACAGCAGGCGATTAAAAATTAAAGTCTTCACCCGACGAACGAAAACTAAACTCTACAAGTGCCTCGACGTTCCCGTCCTGCTATATGGTACAGAAGCATGGACAATGACAACATCTGATGAGTCGGCGTTAGAAGTTTTCGAGAGAAAGGTTTTGCGTAAGATTTATGGTCCTTTGAGCGTTACCAACGGCGAATATCGCAGACAATGGTACGATGAGCTTTACGAGCTATAAGGCGGCATTGACATACGTATATGTAGTTCAGCGAATCAAGAAGCAGCGCCTACGGTCATGCGATCCGGATGGATACGTATTCCCCCCGACTTTTTAAGTTTTTGATTCCCAGAATTCTTTATAATTACGAAAATTAAATCTCTGTAGTAATCGGTTTTTTGCTATGTAAAAAATGCAATTACATACATGCATATACAGTATACGTAATTCGTATTAGTACACAATGCAAAGTGCTTTTTTTTTTTAGCAAAATAAGCAGAATAAATAGGGGTTATTTATTTATTGTCACAAAAATGTTTATGTTGTTTTTATATATCGTGTGGTGGGTATCAATTCAGCTTCCATTTTTCGCCAGCCTGAAACTTTGACTACAAGTCAAGCTACGCTCTGTTCACCGTTTTTACCAATAACAAAACGCAGAGTTGACTCATGTTCATGTGTTATAATTTATATTTTCTTTACAGCACTGGTTTCGGCTGCCAATAAATCGTTCCGATAAATCGTTTGTAAATAAATATAAAAGTAATAATGTATTGGTTGCCCAAAAAGTAATTGCGGATTTTTTAAAAGAAAGTTAATGCATTTTTAATAAAACTTAGAATGAACTTTAATCAAATATATAATTGCCATTTTGTTCGATAACCTTTTGCCATCTTCCTGGCAAATTTAGTATTCCACGCTCATAGAACTTCTGGCCTTTATCTGCAAAAAACTGAACCAAGTGCGATTTTATAGCCTCATCATTGCCGAAAGTTTTTCCACTTAAGGAGTTCTGCAAAGATCGAAATAAATGGTAGTCTGATGGTGCAAGGTCAGGGCTATATGGTGGATGCATCAAAAGTTCCCAGCCAAGCTCACTCAATTTTTGGCGAGTGACCAAAGATGTGTGCGGTCTAGCGTTGTCCTGGTGGAATATGACACCTTTACGATTGACCAATTCTGGTCGCTTCTCCTTGATGGCTGTATTCAATTTGTCCAATTGTTGACAGTAAACATCCGAATTAATCGTTTGGTTCCTTGGAAGCAGCTCAAAATATACGACACCCTTCCAATCCCACCAAACAGACAGCATAACCTTCTTTTGGTGGATATCAGCCTTTGAACTGGTTTGAGCTGGTTCACCAAGCTTAGACCATGATCGTTTTCGACTAACGTTGTTGTAAACAATCCATTTTTCATCTCTAGTTATGATTCGTTTTAAAGACGGATCGAATTCATTGCGTTTAAGGTGCATATCACAAGCGTTGATTCGGTGTGTTAAATCAATTTCTTTCAATACATCTGGTACCCAATTATCAAGCTTTTTCACCCATCCAAGACTTTTTATGTGATAATGAACGGTTGATTTTGGTATATTTAACTTCTCTCCTATCTCACGCTCAGTTACATGACGATCCAATTCGATTAATGCTTTGATTTGGTCATCATCAACTTCATTTGGCTGACCTGAACGTGGCTCATCTTTGAGTGAAAAATCTCCAGAACGGAATTTGCGAAACCAATTTTGACACTGTCTTCCTTTTAAGGTTTCATCACCATACACATCTCGTAACTTTTTAGCAACCTGTTCCGCATTTTTTCCTTTACGGAAATAATAAAGTAAAATATGACGAAAATGCTCCTTTGTGGGCTCCTTTTCTTTTTTTCTAAAGCAAGCTAAAAGTAACAGCTGATAACTGACAGAAGAAAGAATGCAATTACAGAGTCACAAGCTGACTATATGAAAAATCCGCAATTACTTTTTGGGCAACCCAATATATGAAGCATGAGGCGCGATTTTATTTACTGTTCTATTTTGAAGCGCTACTGAATTTTTAAAGTTAACTGAAATCTCCCAAAAATTAACGTTTAGCGAGTATTTTCCTTGAATTTTTTTCAGTGGTCAATTCACAATAGTATCTCTTATTTACTTTGCAACAGTAGCATTAGGCCGGTACGGTGTTGTTTAAGCGATTTCAACACAAACCGGTTAAATTAACTTAATTTGCTTATTTTGTGTTGTTGTGTTCTATGTTATTTAATAACCTATCTAACGTTCTTTTGCAGGTCGCCAATAGAAGGAAAGGTCTTTGTAAACTTTTACAACATTTTGTATTGCAGAGATGGTTTTTTTTAGAATTTTTATGAAGACCCATTATTAAACTCCTCGTTTCGTTTGATAATTCATTTATTTATTTTTGGTGTTATTACAAAGAAATCGAGCGAAGTTAGAAAAAATGCTTACTAAATAAAACTGTACTACCAACAAAAAAAAAAAAATGAATAAACATCAACTAATGTACCAATATGATTTTTGCATACTGTATTTAAATGTAATTAATAGTTAAAAGTTTCCCAATAGGAGTTGAGAGTCAAGTTGGAACTTATTATGCAGTTTTGTGAAATACATTACATTTAGCGTATGTATGTATATAACTACAATATATTACTAAAGATTGATTCTCTGTTTTGTTTTGATACCGCAAACAGGTTAGAAAAAACAGAGAGCACAATTTTTTGCGTATTTGACCGTGATATGCTGCGCAGGAGCGTAAATGCATATATATACATACATACATACATATATGCATATTTATATGTATAGAATCTAGTAAACAAACGATTGCAGCGAGAAATATGGGAAAACTGCAACGTGGCGTATGTGAATATAAAAAATACGTACGTGCCAACGTAGAAAAACCAAGGAAGAAAGACTATATTCGGGTTGAAACGAATATTAAACACTCAGCTATGGGAGTTAAGTGTATTTTTCGAAAAAGGAGTGCGTTAAGCGGAATAAAAACTTGGATTGCGTCAACTTTTGTGGATACTAAATTATGAGAATTATAAGTATACAATTTTCTGTTCTCTGCTGTTTCTCCGATATAGTTTTTGACCGCAAAGTTAGGGGTGCCATGAATACTGAAAAATTGTTTCCAATCCTCATATTTTCTTTTTTTCCAGACTTTTCAAATTCACCATAAATCATATAATAGCACTTTCAGAATCCCTCCCCTCCTTCCGTGTTACCCAAAGTGGCCTTTTCCTTTTTTACTGAGCTACAAAGTTTATGGACGATGCCAAGTGTGCGTAAACTTGCATAATAAGCGTGACCTGAGAAAGAAACGTACAAACATGGCTAGAGTTTATAGATAGATAGATAAGGCAGGTTATACTGCGCGACCAGAGGTCAATTGTGCCCTCCGTTTATTTCACATCACTTCAATCAATTCAAAAGCCCTTAGAAAGCCTAACAGGCTAGAACGGTTTATTGACTTCACGTGATTTCGTTTTTACCGAAAGACTCCTAGAAGACTCAGTCTTTTTATAGAGGCAGCATCGCATTCAGCATGTTCTCCGGTCTTTCTGATTATAACTCACAGAAGTTCATCAAACTAATTCTAATTTTTTGCATATGTTTGCATAATTTGCAATGACCTGTATGAAACCCTGCTAGTATTCTTAAGTTATTGTAACCGTCCATAGACTTCTGTCACATTCCCATGCCATCTGGGCAGCCAGCACGTCATTGCAAATTACTCTATATTAACTGTTTTACTTTTGAGTACAATATCTGTTAGTGAAGTGATGGCGAACACTGCTGCTTGGAAGATGTTAGGGTATTTCCTCATAGGCGTTAATTATATGTGTGACAATATTTATCTCGACTATTTTTCGCTGTAACACACAACCGTTAGCTGAACAAACCTAATATACTCTCTGTGCACTGTAAAATAGCTCTCATTGCTCCAGGTATCCTCTAGGAACAACAGTTTTTGCATTAATAAAACTAAAATTTTAGCGCTAATTACTGCATATTCACATGTTTGTACATACATAAATAATCACGTAGAGATGTATGAAGCTCATTGGTATCAGCGAAAAGCTGGGCAGCCAATTATTTGAGTATATGACTTTTTTCATTACACAGAGCTTCACAGCTGCTTCCGAAGGGATATATATGTGAACATATGTGCATACATATATGTATAATATTGTTTTTCCTAAATATTTGGCATTGATTTCGTTTAAAAAATTACTTACTTCCTTTCTTATAAAAATATTTTAGCTGAATTTTGCTGCTTGTTCTTTTAACTCATTATTCATTCACTATAAGCTTTTTCAGAGGTGTATTCAACATTCTTTAAACGATCAAATTTGAGAAACGTTGGACAATTGAAATTTAAAAATTTAAGCGTATCGGAAAAATTTTCCCACTGATATAGATTCACAGATATACATATATCAGTATTTCAAAGTTCATTTTTCTTTTTCCCGGCAATTTGGATGTGAGTTTTTCAGTACTCATTGGGTAGCTTACATTACTTCATACAACTTTGTGCCGGCTACTCTCTAAGTTCAAAGCTTAAGCGCTCAGTACTTGCAGTAGACAGGTTTATCTCCCGATTCTCCCATGGACGCGTCTGTGTGCTTTCGTTAGAAGCAAGGCCAATTCGCCTTGGTTGCAATATCAACAGACAGAAGAATTCTCTGTGGTTTTACCCATACACACAATAGCTGCTTGCAAACAATTGTTGCAGAGATTGAGAGTAGTAAATACATAAGTTAAAATTCCGACTCTTCTGCCGGCATCATTTATATACAAAATACGTCGTATATACAAACATATATACATACATACATACAAATGCATATACATGTGCGTCGAAACATGTTTATAATGAAATACTCGAAAGCATTTCATTGCAGTCACATCGGCGAGCAGGAAGGTTAAACTTACTCCTACATTAGCTAGTACATATTTATTTACATACATACGCATATAAACGCTTACAGTTTACACTGAAGGAAAATTGAAATCAAAAGTTTTAAATTTAATTTTCTGCTTAAATTTCTTTAAATTGTGAAAATGGTGGAGAAATTCTGTTGTTTCCGCTTAGAATCGACGGCAAAATTTTTCGGTTGGCTTGGCAGTATAGTGTCTGCCGTTTTAATCATCCCATGCATAATAGCCTTGGTATATGTGAAGGAAATTGTTGATTCCTTAATAAAACAAGGTGTAAGAATTGAAAATCGTGAAGACGCTGAAAATAGTGAGTATTAAATTAATATTTTTATGAATGCATCGAAAATAGCCTCAGCGGCTATATGTATGTTCATATTTATTAGTATACATAAATATATTGACGCATATGGAACAAGCCTTAAAGATTTTTTCCAAACGTGGGCAGCTACAAAATGATATCAAACATTGAACAAAAATAATTCGGAATATACGAGCATATGTATACATAAGTACATATGTATATATGAATATAAGCAAACTAAAAAACTTTTGCTGCACACAATGCGTTAGCGTAATTTATGAAATTGGAACTGGAACAGTATAAATATACATATAGATATGTAAGTATGTATGTATATACATAACTATGCTACATTTTGTGTTGTAGCACGCATTTTATTTCTCATGTATAACATATGTATATATGTACACACTTACGCCGTCCCCAAGGAACATCGCAAGCTGAAAAAGACTATAGGACACTTGTTGAATGCACTGCTGCTAAAAAATGTACATATGTATGTATGCGTTATGTATGTATTGCGGAGCACGTTAGCATTCAAATTTCCTGAACTCGAAAAATAAAATTAAATTAACTTAGATTCGAATCCGATCGGCGCCATTCGTGTGCAGAAACTTTAGGTGCTTCATTTCATAAAATAAATTACTTCTAACGATTAAATTAAAAAAAAAAGTATATTTGTTGGCATTTTCGAAAAAAAAAATTATTTTTACACTCGAAATAATTTTTTTCTATCGAGTGGGAAAATATTTTCTTTGCCACTTTCGGAAACGTACTTTTGTCACTTTAGAAAAAAAATGCTTGCCATTATCGGAATGGCCTTCCTTTCCTTATTCGAAATAAATAGAAATGTTTTTGTTCTTTTCAAATAAAAATTTTTTTTTTTGCAATTACGAAATAATTTTTTTTTCGAAATAGAAAAATGTTTTTTTTGGCATTTTCGAAATAAATTTTTTTTCCAAAGAAGCTATTTCTTTAACAGTTTAGGAATATTTTTTCAGGACATTTTAGAAATAAAAAATGCATTTCGTCCTTTTCGAATTCAAGTTTTTTATGGCCATATTCAAAATAGAAGGAAATATTTAAATTTTTTTTATCCATTTTCGAAATAAAAGGAAATATTTAATATTGTTATCCATTTTCGAAATATTTAATTTTTTTTATCCATTTCCAAAATAAAGGGAAATATTAAAATTTTTTGATCAATTTTCGAAATATTTATTATTTTTATCCATTTCCGAAATAAAAGGAAATATTTAATATTTTTTTTATCAATTTTCGAAATATTTAACATTCGTATCCATTTTCGAAATATTTAATATTTTTTTTATCAATTTTCGAAATACTTAATATTCTTAACCATTTTCGAAATAAAAGGAAATATTTAACATTTTCATTCATTTTCGAAATATTTAATATTTTTATCTATTTTCGAAATAAAAGGAAATATTTAACATTTTCAACCATTTTCGAAATAACTTTTTTTTATTTTCGAATGAATTTTTTTTTGCCATTTTCGAAATAAAAAAAATTCTTTTAACAGAAAATTGTCTTTTATTTTTACCATGTTTTCTGTAGCATTTCCGCGCCATTTCTAAATTTCCTACAATATTTCATAATTTTTAATGCAATTTATGCATCACATGCATACATATGTATTTATTAATAATTCAAAATTTTTTTTTTTTTACATTTGCAGTTGTGACAATAGTTCTTGCCTTGGAAATTGTTGTATTTGCCGTTAATGTTGTTACGCATATTTGCCTGCTTCTGGGTACCATACAGGTATGTACTCGTACACGTAGGTGTATGTATTTATGTATTATTAATGATTCTTATTAAACAATGCAATTTATATATAATTTCATTTATATTTTATGTACATATATGCATGTAAGTGTATTCTTTTCTTCGAAAAGCGGTAAACTTGTTTGAAACAAATCCAGTATTTCTATTTACACATATGCATATGTATAAATACGTCTGTATGCAAGCACTTGGTAATGTGTACATATGTATATAATGCACTTATTTACTTGAATGAAATTTAGCTTTGATAAAAAGTGTTTAAATAAATAAACATTGACAAAAGTAAACACACAAATTCACAAACGCGCATTACATACATAGATATGAAAATCCAACCAATTTGCATATTCCGCGCTTTATTAGAATTTCACAATGGATCCTTATTTATCACATAAATTTGTGTAACGTATATACATATATACATACATCTAAACATAAGTATATAAATGCAAACAACGCACGCTGGAGTGCATCGAGCCCTACATATCTTACTACATACGTGTATGCATATAAACATCATCTCGTAATATGTGTGTATGTAAATAACTTCTGTGTTTCTTTTTCATAAAGAAATTAATTTTTCTCTTTATGGTTCATAAATACGTTATTAGCGTCATTTTTTAAAAAGAATTCAAAGAATCTCCGATTGAAAAGAGCGCAATCGCTTCCTGGGGAAGGAAATAGTTTTTATTAATATTTTCATTATAATAAATTATCGAAAACCACAAGAATTTAATCTGTTTCTGTGGCGAATATATATCATATTTTCTTCATTGTTTTTTTTTTTTGTTGTTTTATTTTATTGTATACATTTTGGTTTATTTCATTTCACTTTTATAATTTGTTTTATTTTTATTTTACTTTTTATTTTGTTTTTATTTTGCTTGATATGAGGTTCGTTTTATTTTATTTCTTTCTTTTTTAATTATTGTATTTAGCGTTTATTTCAATTAATTTTATTTCGTTGTAATTTATTTTTCATTTAATATTTTTATTTTATATTATTTTTTGTCCTAACTTATTTCTATTTGATTTGACTTTATTTTTTTTTTATTTTTGTATTTTGATTTGATTTAATTTAATATTTTTATTTCAAATAATTTTACTTCATTATTTTTTTCTATTGGGTTTTAGTTATTTATTTTTTTATATCGTTATATTTTATTTTTAGTTTAATATTTTGTTTATTTTATGTTATTTTATTTGTTTTGAATGAATATAACTTTATTATATTTTTATTTTATTTATTTAATTTTATTTGTTTTTATTTTTATTTTTATTTTTCTATATATAAAAGTTTGACCTCATATTATTTATTAAATTTTATTTTTATCTAGTATTTTGTTAAATTTACTTAATTTTTTATTTGTTTTGAGTTAATTTAATTTAATTTTAGTATTTTTTTATTTTAATAAATTTTATTATTTTTTCTATTGGATTTTTATGGTTTGACTTCATATTATTTCGTTATAATTACTTAATTTCTATTTCTATTTTATTTGTTTTGAGTTGATTTAGTTTAATTTTATTATATTTTTATTTTAATAATTTTTTTTTTATTGGGTTTTATATGGATTGTCCTCATTTTATTTCGTTATATATTAATTGTAATATTTTGTTTAATTTACTTAATTTCTATTTCTATTTTATTTGTTTTGAATTGATTTAATTTAATTTTATTATATTTTTATTTTAATAAATTTAATTTTATTTGTTTTTATTTTCTATATATAAAAGTTTGGCCTCATATTATTTATTATATTTTATTTTTGTTTAGTATTTTGTTTATTTTACTTAATTTTTTATTTGTTTTGAGTTAATTTAATTTAATTTTAGTATTTTTTTATTTTAATAAATTTTATTATTTTTTCTATTGGGTTTTATATGGGTTGCCTTCATATTATTTCGTTATATATTAATTGTAATATTTTGTTTAATTTACTTAATTTCTATTTTATTTGTTTTGAGTTGATTTAATTTTATTTTATTATATTTTTATTTCAATAAATTTATTAATTTTTTTTCTATTGGGCTTTATATGGGTTGTCTTCATTTTATTTCGTTACATTTTAATTTTAATATTTTGTTTAATTTCTATTTCTATTTTGTTTGTTTTGAGTTGATTTAATTTAATTTTATTATATTATTTTAATTTATTTTATTGTATTTTATTATTTTTCTATCAGTCTTTATATGGTTGGACTTCATATTATTTATTATTTTTTATTTTTATTTAGTATTTAGTTTAATTTATTTAATTTTTTATTTGATTTGAGTTGATTTAATTTAATGTTATTATATATTTATTTTAAATAAATTTGTTTTATTCATTTTTATTTTATTATTTTTTCAATTTTATTTTATGTGACTTGACTTCATTTTATTTCCTTGTATTTTATTTTTTGTTAAATAATTTGTCTATTTTATTTTGGTTTTATTTGACATATTTTGTTTTATCTATTTTGATTAATTCAGTTTTTTGTTTATTAGTTTTAATTAATTTAGTTTTTTGTTTATTCTATTTGATTTGAATTGATTTAATTTTATTGTATATTTTATATTTATTTTATGTTTTATTGTTTTTTTTTATTTAATTGTAATTTTTATTTTATTTGATTTGACTTTATATTTATTTAATTCAAAAAGTCTATTTTATTATATTTTATGTGCTGTATTTGGTTTTATATTCATTTATTTTGTTTTATTTTTTTTCTATTTTACTTGACTTTATTTTATTTTATTATATACTATTTTTTTATGTTATTTTTTATATGTTTTATATAATTTTGTCTACATTATTTTAATATAATTAATTTAATTTTTGTTTTATACGTTTATTGTAATCAATTTTGTTTTACTTAGTTTTTTATTTATATTTAATTTTATTTTTTTTTTTTAGTTTTGTTCTTATTTTATTATAATATTTTTTATTTTAAATTTGTAATGTATGCTTTGTCTTTATTTTATTTCATTATACAATTTTTTTTTTTATTTTTATTTTATTTGATCTCATACTTTATTGTTTTTGTTTTATTTTTTTTAAATTTTTTTTTATGCTTTATTAATTTTTTTTTAATACTTTATTTGTTTTTTTATTATATTCTGATTATTTTGTGTCTTTATTATTTAATTTAATTTTCTTTAATTCAAATTTTTATTTTATTTTTTTTTTTTTAGTATTTTATTTTTACTTTGTATCAGTTTTTTTTTGTAATTTCTTATCTGATGTATTTATATTTGATTTACATTATTGTATTATATATTTTCAATATTTTCCTTGCAGAAACGTCACAATTTGTTACTCCCATGGCTGATAGCAGGCGGCATAAGCATTGTTCTGTCCATCATACTCATGTTCTTCATTGGATTTAGTACTGTTATAAGCACCGGTAAGTTTCATATACATAACCATATTTATATGAAAATAATTAGATAATTTTCTTTATATATATATGTATGCGTTATATAATTTGTTTTCTATTTTTTTGTTTTACTCTTTTCCTGCAGCATTCAATATTTACCTGTGGATCTGTATGTATTCTCTATACAAGCGTATTAAAACCGAAAAGGAGCAGAGTCATTATCAGGCTTGCACAGAATATTTTCCCAAGCAAACGGTTTAATAAGTGAAAATTAAAAATGCCATAAAATTTATAATCATTTGTTAACATGTAACAAAAATATACTCGAATAGATTCACACATCTGTACATACATATATGCATGTATGAATGTATGTACAATGATGATAAAAAATCTTTTTACATATACCTACAACTGTATATACAAAATGTACTTGTTTAACATAAGCGAAATAAACTCATCAATATTTTTTCTACAAATTTTATTGTTTTCATTTTTTTATAATTGCGAATCTCAAATGATTTGCGCATTGGATGGGTACTTTTGTATTAAGCCATTATTTTTATTTTTATAAAAGTTTAATTGCACACAAGTATATACATACGTATGTATGTAAAAAGGGAGTGGGGGCACAGTAACACATACAAATATATATTTATACACGTTCTTCATAAATAATTAGCTGGTAGGTATAAAGAATGTGAAAAACAAATATTGAAAATGCAAAATTATACATTTCGAAGAACTTTTTGTTGTTTTCTTAATTTTGCCTTAATTTGATATTTCTTCTTCGAATGTTATTTTTTTTGTATTTGATAATAGCAGACACATGCCGGTTCACTGAATTTCGAGTTGCCTCAAACAGCAAAACTCGTGCTAGTGATATATACATACATACATACATACATATGTATGCATGAATGAAAGTGCGTTCATTGAATTTGCATTTAATCGTCATAAGCGAATAGAAGTGTAGGCAGATGAAGCAATCTTATCCACATATGTATATATATATATAAAATAAAATAAATCCATTCTCTGCGCAAGATGATAACCTTTCACACAGGGAAGTTTGTTTTTAATGTTTAAAAAATGCATTACACCCTATGATTTTATGTTAATAAAATAATTATTTAAAATAAAAAGAGATAAAAATATATTAAAATATTTTATATGTAAAGTAAAAAATATGTAAATATATACTAAAAATATAAATAAATTAAAATATAATGACTTGTTATCAATTTTAAAATAAAAATATAAAGTTCATGTGTAAGGAAATAAATTTATTATCTGTTATAATTAAATTTTAAGCTACTGACATGGTATTGTCTTTATTCTTACGATGATTGAAAAAAGGAAACAAACTAGCGCCGGAACAGTTTTTGGCGCTCAATTTGACAATACTTATAATTTTATTTTATTTTTTTGAATTTTTCAAATTTTTAATGTTAATTTAATTTTTTGATTGATTAAACTTATTTTATTTTCTTAATTCCCAATTCAATTTTTATTTAAATTTATATTTTATTAATACATTTTGCTTGCTAATTTAATATAATTGTTTTTATTAATTTCAATTCTTTTATTTTACACAAATTCATTATATTTTATGTTGCTTAATTTAATTTTTTTATTAAGTCTTTTACGTCTTATTTAAATTTATATTTTTTATCACTATTTGTTCGTTTTTACTTAGTTTACTTTAGTTTTATTTTATTTTTTCCTTTTTTTCTTTATTCAATTGGTGGCATTATATTGACATAAATAAAGCAAATTACATTTACCCGTGTAAGATATTGTTTTAAGTTACATATGGCACATATTTGCTAAAAAAAAAACGGTAAAGCGCTCGACAAAAATTGAAGGAAGAGCTCGACCGCAAAAGTCTCCTCGACGTGTACGCGTGGCTTTCTTGGTATAAATAGATTCTATACAAATATATCCTTGATACGCATTTGTATCGCTGCATTGGAGTATTAAAAACGAGTTTACTTACTTGGAAAGTCTGCCAATGGCTTGATCTAGTTTTGAATCCGTTTTAGCACTGCTTGGTGATTGCCTTAAGGTATTACCCGAAAATAAAGTTATATTCACTGAATGCCAAGCTTATCACTTTATCGCCAAATATGTTGGACTTATGTTCGCGCCTTAATTTGTACTTTTCTGAATACAATAGGAAGCGGAACAGCGAAATACACCGGATGTTGGACAAATAACTGTAATGGATGGTTAGATATCACATTTTTTTGTAGTATTAGTTTCTTTTTCACTTTCTCGGAAGATTTTATTCCACCAAGTTTACTGTATAACGTTATTATTATTTTTATTTCTCTTGTTAAATATATGCAAAATTTGTATCACTATGAGCAAAGAACGTATATTAAGCGTCAAATTGGCAAACAATGGGTTGCCAATAGTCAATTCAATCACTATTCACCAGTAGATGCCTCCTAAACTGTTCTGGTGTGAACCATTCACATTAGCAGCAACTGTGAATAGCAATTGCTTATGTGTCATAAACAGCTGTTATCAACATTTCTTTGTTTACAAAACAACATTTGTTTTGCTTGACTGGTTTTTATTATGCATTTAAATATTTTGTATTTGCGCAGTAGAAGGGAAAAAAATGTTAGCAATTCATATGTGAAGCTGATTATGAATTAGTACATTATCAAATGTTCAAACGATTGGGTAGGAAGTACGCCAATATATGTGTGAAGCTTCTAAAGAAAAGAATCCATTGAATAGCATTTTCTACAACAATTCCAGACTCTTGCTATAAATGCGAAAATTTCGCAAACAAGCTGTTTTATGTTGATGGTGTGAAAGCGTTTAGGGACGGAGGATGTGGAGGCAGTGATGGTGGTGGTGGTGGTGACACACGGTGGAGATATCTACATGCATACAAACATTAATTTAGATTTGTTAACCGAGTGACTCGGTGTTGGACTGTGTTCGTGAGTCTTCAATCAAAGTATACGTGTAACGGTTGTTGCAGCAAATATCTCAGACAGTTCGGTAGTGTTGAACGGAGACAGATTTTCGATTTTTTTGTCTGCAAGCTTGTTTTATGTGATTTCTACAATTCTTAAATATTTCTAAATTGTTTTCTAATCATTCCGTATAATATTTCAAATTGGTAGTGCAAACGTGATTTGTTAAAATGTATTTTGTAACAAGTTTATGCAAATTTTGTAAATGTGGTTGTTAGATATTTTACATAAAATAAGAGTAAAACCATTACAAAAATTACATGTGCAAAAAATCCCCATTTAATTTCATCACAAAAGGCAATTATAATATATTTTTCAAGTATATTGGAAAAACAGTCGCGTCAATATGTCATTAGCCAGCGCTACAGGGATTTTACTAAAACCACAAACTCCATTGCAACAACTACTAGAGGATATAAATTTCCAACGTACAAAAGAAATGCGACAATTGCTCAAGGATGGTAAGTATAAAGGCGCATTTAAAGTCAAAAAGCATACTTCTAGTAGAAAATAGTTAAATTAGGAAAATAAAAATATTTCTATTTTATAAATTTGAATACACCATTGAAAATTATGTACATTTGTACTTTATCGATTTATCAAATAATCTTTATCCTGTGCCAACGCCATGCCATTGGCATCGTTTTTTGTTGTATACATGCTGCCTCGTACTGTGGCTTTCACACAGGTTAACAACACATGCGTATATGCATACAATTTTGCTTTAATAAACTAAATAGACTATATATGTGTACATATATATAATACTTTAAAATATATAATATGTATGTTTGGATATGCATATACATACAAAGTTATATAAAAGTCAGCTGTTTATATATGTAAATATGTTTGTACACAAAAAGTGTATATTTCCTGAGAATTAAGGGCTGTTAGGCTGCTTTTTTTTACACTGATGCATACATATGTTTTGTTTAACCGGTATTCTTATCTTAGCTGTGCAGTGAATCATAATATTACTAATTGCATTTTCGTTTTTTTATTAATTCGTGCTTATGCTAATATGCAATACACTCAAACAGCTTTTAATCAATATATTTACTTGTACAAAGTTTGTTATTTTTGTTATAAAACTAAATAAATATCTTTTTAAATTTAAAATTTTTTCCTCAACAGATAGCGGTTTTGTGGTACTCCAGGGCACTACATATTGGACAGATTTGTTTGTGCGACATTTCCTCTTTCAAAGTGAGCCGGTCCACAGTATAGATTCAGATGATTTGCTCTTTTTTGTACGCAAAAAACACGTGAAAAGCTCTTCCCGACATATGCCAAAGTATGAGGTAAGTCATAAAAACAAAAATTCATAATTACACATACGTACATACATACATGGGAAAATTTAAAAACTTAAATTTCTCACTCTCCACTTACACTTACTTTTATACAGACAGAAGTGGATGTATTTCGTAAGGACTCACGTAAACTTCCGATTGGTGATCCGGACGTCGATTGGGAGGAGACAGTATATTTAAATATGGTCATACATCAATTTGATTATACACTTACTTTAGCTATTTGTACACGCACATCGCCAAAGGAATTGCAGGTATTGAGACGACACTCACAACGCGTTTATGCGAGTCCAAGTCGTCGAAAAATGGATACCAAAGGTGAAGGTGAAGAGATAACATACCCGCATATATGTTTTATGGTGGACAATTTTGATGAGGTATAGTGTTTTTAAATATACACATAACTGTATACTTCTAAATACAAAGATAAAATCGATATAGGTTTTTAGCGATATATTGGTGCGCGATGGTGAAATGGTATGTGTGGAATTGGTTGCGAATGATAAAGATGGCTCGGTGCAGGGCGTTATATTTCTGGGCTCCATTCGTTATGATGCACTAAAAAAGGTCTACGATGCAAGGGTGTGTTACATATACATATGTATTTGCACAATAAAATTTAATTTTGCTTAAATTTCTACATGTCTCCCTAATAGCAATCGAGTCTCAGTTCCAAAGTGGCTCAACGCATGTCTTTCGGCTTATTTAGCAGCGGCGCTGGTGTGCAAACACGTTGTGAATTTGTGCGCATGAAGGGACCACAAGGCAAAGGACATGCCGAAATGGCTGTAACAAAACCGAAAGGTTCAGGCGTAGAGACGCCAACGAGCGAACCGGGGTAATGTGTAATAATATGAAATATGCAAAAGGCAAATTGTTCACTTTGACTATAAAACAATAGAGACTGCATATATGTATGTATGCACAACACATACATAAGCTTTCTAATTTGTAATTTTACCATTTACAGCTTTTGTGCCACCGACATGTGGGACGATTGGGAGGAAGAAAATGATGATTACTGTACTTATCGTCATCAACGTCGTTTGAGTGATCCTAGCGCTAATTTAAATAATTTCTCACGTTACGCTTGGCGTACGAAAGGCGCACCCGATGCGGTGGGCGGTACAGCGGGTGCCAAGGCGCGTTCGGAGAATGAAGGACTCGATTCGTTGGCCAATGAGGTGTCGGAAATTGAAGCAGGCGATTTGCGTGATGGTAAATAGAATAAAAGTATTTACTTTTCTCAACTTTTTATAAGCGTCTATTTACTTAATATTTAAAAATAATTTCTTTTCATAATACTTTAGTAATTAAATGTAGTGCTTATGAAAGTTTTTAATTTTTTTTTTAACTCATATGATCATTTCGTTTTATCATTCAAAAATATTTAAAGCAACCTTTGGTTGTTAAAATATTTGTTTTTAAACTATCTAAAATGTTAACAATATATTAAATTTTTCTCATTGATTTCTTCTCACCTTTGTTATATCATAAATTCACTACATACACACATAACATACTCATGTGCTGCTGATATTGCATGCCTACAACATACTTTGTATGTTGGTTTTGTAATTCTTATTACACTTTTTAATTAGTTTTATTTGAAAAAATTCATAATTCAAGATTATTTACACCCAAAGTATCGTAAAGCTTTATAAGAAAACAAAAATGGCTCGTACAAGTTTTGAAAAATTCCTTTAAAGTTAAAAAAATTTAACTCGAAAATTTGATTTTCCAACATGAGTCTCTGCTAGCTGCTATATATTCTTAAATGAGACCAGACGAGATAAATAAAAAATTTTGTATCGATTTACACTTTGTTCGATATTTTAACTGTTCTATTACAACTTTTTTGTTTTTCAATATTTATTTCGCAACAAAAAGATTAAATAAGAAACTTTAAAGTATAATAAAAAATAAATAAACAAGTTTACAAATATTTTTTAAGCGTGAAATCCGCTCTTTTGCTAATTTGAAGTAATAAGCTCAAAATTGAGAATATCAAACCTTGCAGTTAGGACAACACAAAATTTTTGCTCATCAACTACATTAAAGAAAAGGGACTACACTGCGCATGCGCAAATTTTTTTTTGTTTTCAAGTCACGTATACGCACTGCTGCCAGGTGCTATATTTTACTTTATTTGTTTTTATTAAAAAATAAAATCTTAAACAGTTTTCTATAAATTTGGCATAATAAATATATAAATAACACATTTCCTATGGTCTGAAATTATAGTTTTTCCTGTTTTTTATTAAAAAAAAAAATACTCTGCTTAATTAATACTCTGTGTACAGTTTTAAAAAGCTACACACTAATTATACACTTTTTATGTCTATTAAATAGTATTGACATTTTCTATACATATTTAAGCTATAATTTACGCTTGCTCTTTAATACTTTCATATCCCAACCATCCTATATTTGTTATTGTAACGTGTTGTTATTCTATAACCAATTTTTTTTTGAATTTTCACTTACAATTTTAATTTAAACCAAAAAAAAAACTAATAAATAAATAAAGAATTCATAATAATAAAAAATATATAAAAATAATAAAATATATAAAAATAAAAAAATATATAAAAATACAAAAATATGTAAATATATAAAAATATTAATATATATAACACAAAACAAAACTTTTCTGCTCGCAGTATTTATACATTAGCAAATTAATTGTTGAGAAAATCAAAAAAAAACAAGAAATAAACACTAAGTGTATCATAACCTCAAACGAAACTTGAATGCCGAGAAAGCAGGACTTGGAATACACACATTTACTATTTCATTTGTATAAATTTTTTCAAAACTCATTATGCCATTTGACTCTATTTGATACAAATGCATATTTAATTGATTTTTTTTATGATTTTCTTGTTTGTCTGTGGAATTTGTAGAGTTTCTCACTATGATGTGTGCAGTCCCCTGTTTTATAATTTAACTGAAAAACAATATTTATATTATTTTTGCAATATGCTATTGTAGTAAAAATTATGCTTTGCATATTTTTTAGCTGTCATTTAATACTAATTAATTTTAAATAAATTTCCAAAAAAAAAAATAAAAAAATTCGAAAAAAAATACAAAAAATAAAAAGGAAACAAAAATTAATTCCAAAGCTTATAAAAAATAGCAAAATATTCACAAATTTAAATAAAATTTTTATAATGCTTATTAGAATCAAAATTTTTCAATTAAAATAAAGAAAACAATTTTTTAAAATTTTTTTTTTATAAAAAATGCAAAGTAGGGGAAACACGCATGTGTCTGTAAATAATTTAAAAATTGACTGTTTTTTGTATACTCAGTTGTTTAGCTAATTGATTCGGTGCAACGTTCGAACCAACGCCTGTTCTTTATAACACACTCTCGAAAACCAGTTTACAGCAGCAACAAAGATAAAAGATATTTAGTTTAGTTAATTAAAGCAGGAGTTTTACCTGTTGGGGTTCAGGGTAGACACAGTTTAGTTAAAACTAGAACTATAATTGTGCTACACTAGCGTTAGCGGATCCAAGGCACCCCGTTGTCCCAGTGCTTAGCATAATTTTGTGAGGTTATGTTGACTTTGGAACACTTTTTAGTATAGATATGTATTGAAAGCTTTTAAAAAGTCTGCAATAGCTTCGAATTTCGCATAAAAATCAAATGCATAATGTGCTTCTGGTCTCAGCCATTATACGGTGCCAATTATATAACGTATAAATGTATAATGACGTTCCAACAAACCTTTTAGTAGGTAAAATATAGTTTTTTTTTTTGTTTTTTTTTTCGCCAAAATACTATACTTTACAGCCTTTTTTTATTGCCATTATCTACAACAATAACAATACTGACCTTATTTGCTACCACACAGCAGGTCCCCTCCTTTCTTCCTTTCCACCTTCACTCCTTTAAGTCCATACACTCAACCGTAGAGCGTAACAGCAACAGCAACTAGTCCATATCATTTGTCTAATTCATTTATGCAACATAATTGAATTTAATTTAAAAATATTTATATATTTTTCCACATCTTATTTTTTCCCCTTTACTTGTCTCTTTTTTGCAAAATATTTTTTCACAAATATGTAATTTAATTTAATTAATTTTTATATTATTTCCACTTTGTAGAATTTCTTTTTTTATAATTTTTGATCTGTTTTAAAACGTTGCCAACGATCTATATTTCATTGTAGATCTACGTCCTGCTTTCTCGGCATCCGAGGCCAAACTACATCTCAATCCGAACTGTGAAGCAGCCAACGCGGCTGCGGTTAAACTACCAATTTCACCGGAAAACGAACTGAAACACAGTGTCCAACGAGAAACGTCCAAAAACGTCGCCGATGACGGCGTGCCTGTCGCTGAGGCAGTAGAAGTCACTGCGGTGACACCAACCTCGAATACGAGCACTGCAGGTTGCACCAACTGCTTTGGTGGCAAGAAATGCAAACGTTGGATTGGTTCGTCGAGTGATAAGAATACGCCTGAAATGTCAGAGGTCTATTGTCCGACGTGTGATGATGCGGCCAATGAGACGCCAGCTTGTCTCAATAAAATGCCGGATAAAAAGTCAAAGCCCAAACATAAAACCATACTTAGTGTTGAAAGTGAGTTGATTGTGAGTAAGCGAGGAAGTTTGCGTTTGACTGGTAGTGGGCAGAAGCAAAAAGTCGTGGCACGCAGCACCTCGTTGAGCGCGGCCGATCGCAAGCCAAAGCGGACGTCAAGTCCGGCCGAGAGGAAGGAGAAAGAGAAGGAGAAGAGTAAACTTAAGGAAAAAGTTAAGGATAAGGATAAAGATAAGGATAAGAATAAAACTACAAATTTACTTGCCAAGGTTTCACCCAAACGCAACCGGTCCAAGACAAGCGTAACGGTCACTACCAAAACGAAGAACAATAATACAGCGAAAGACGTCAAGGAAGCAAACGCAAAAACGACAACTCAGGACGATAGCAACAATAGTAATAATAATAGCGTAGAAGACCAAGAACCGGCGACACAGAAAGTCGAAGAGTACGAAATAGCCGATGATGCGACTTCGTTAAACGGCACTACCGTCGAAATGACCGAAGCCAAAATGGCCATATTGAGCGCCCAAGATACGAAGCTAATGATAAATGTGCGCGGTCGTGAAGAGCTGCCCGTTGTAGAGCAGCGTTCACCGCCCACTACAGCCGAGTTGAATGCGTCCGGCAGCGCTGGGTATGCAGGCAAAGCCAATCCTTACAGTTTCGAGAAGTGTGTACGTGTACCTGTAAAATCAGAATGCCATCCATTGCAGCAGCAGCAGCAGCAACAGCAACAGCAGCTAGAGATCGCACCTCATAAGGAGCCACATAGTGAGACTGCTTCTGCTATTGCTACAGCTGAAACAATTTTTGATAATAAGCGTGACAATAGTATAACGACGACTGTGTTAGTGTCAATGACAACAACTACAACCACATCAACAGCAATAAAAACCACAAACATTACGAAACTTCAGTTGAAAACTCAAAGTATCGCACATGAGGATGTCAGCGATTATAATGGCAATAGTCACCTGGTGTCGCCACCCACGCAACCATCAACGTCATCGAGTGCACAACGTTCGCCCATATCTCCGCCGCCACTAAACCTGTCGAGCGCTGAAAATGGTAGCGTTAGTGATGGCGGTGTTGGTGCTGGCAGCGATCCGGTGGGTGGCACGGAGAATGGGCATTCGAATGCAACGTTGCCACGCGCAAAACGCAGCGCCGCACAACATGCGTTCTATCAGCGTGCGCTGAGCTTGGTGCCAAAGCGTCGTACGCCCGATGGCACAAATATTTACTACTGGTGTGATCTGCCGCGTAAGGCTCTCAAAGGTGTGTGCGTAAGAGAATTGACACCTTTCGTGTGTTTAAAATGAGTGAAAGTGAATAAATGATTAGTCTCTAGCTGTTTTTTATTATTATGTGTTGCTTCCACGGTAGGTTTTTTTCCTGTTGCGGACCAGCTTTCCGCATATATTGATAATATAATCAGAAAGAGTTGAAAAAGTAGCTCGAAAAAAGTCTCCGAAAGGAATTGGTTGTGGAAGAGTTAGGGTAGGAGTCGAAGAATAGCATTGAACTAGAGTTTCATCTGGGTTAAGAATTTATCTGCTTTAGTTAGGCTGAAAAAAGAATTAAATTTAATTTATTTACATTTTAGAAAGTATTAAGAAATTAAAAATCATTAACTTGAATTAAATAAATCATATTAAAAAAAAAATAAACAAATAAAAAATAACAAGTATGAATATTCTAATCATTTACATAAAGAAAAATAAATGAATTTAACTTTATTAATTTTCTCATTTTAGAATTAGACGATGGCGCCTACAATCCACTTTGGGCCAGTCGTGGCTTTACACAGTCATTTCACTTTTGGAAGGAGAATCGCCGCCAACAGTCCACACCGCTCAATGCATTCCTCACCTATGTGACACTGCCTTGGTGGAGCATTGCTAAAGGTAAGTTGACGTATAATTTAATCGACATGTGTTGAATGGATTGTAATGTTTTTGTGTATTTTTCTTACACTTTTCAGATCTTTTGGATCATCGTGAAACGCCCATATTAACCTTTTAGTATTAAATGTTTATTTTTATTTCGATTTTTTTACTAATTGCATAACTATTTATTATGTCATTGCTTAAAAAAATATTTTTTATCGTATTGTTTGTATATTTGTAAATCTGCATACCTACATACAGATGCTAGTATGTAATAATTATATAATTAGGATTTTAATTTTTATTTTTTTTTATAAAATTAATTTTGTTTTGCAATTGTACTGCTCTGTTTTTAATTTTATTTTAATTTCAATTAATTTATATTTTTTGATCGAACTCAATTTTATTTTTTCTTTTACTTAAGTTATGTATTTTATTTTAATTAAATTAATTTTATTATAGTTTATTTTATTTTTTTAGTTTTATTTTCATTTATTTATATTGATTTAATTTATTTTTGATTTTTTTTCGTTTTGATTAATACCATGTTTCACATTATTTCATATCTTTATATTTACATATATTAATTTAATTTAATTTTTTAATTTCATTATATTATATTTTAATTATTACGATTATTTATTTTGTTTTAATTTAATTTATTTTTTAGTAAATTCTGTTTTATTTATTACGTTTTTATTGTATTTATTTTTATTTATTTAAATTTAGTTTTGTTTCACTATTTATTGATATTTACATTAATTTGTTTCAGTTTTAATTAACTAAGTTTTTATTTGGTTTTACTAATATTAATTTTATTTTATTACTTTCGTTTCATTAATTTGTTTCCATTTTATTTTATTTTCTTCATTTTATTTGAGTTTGCTTTTAATTTTTGGCTTTATATTATTTATGTCTTATACTTTTGTTTTGTTTATTTTTCTCATTTTATTTATTTTATTTAAAATTTTTTATTTAATTTTATTCAAACTTAATACGTTTAATTTTATGTCAATAACTAATTTTGTTTTAATTTATTTTGCTTATTTAATTAATTTCATTTTATTTGAATTTATTTTTAAGTATTTTATTTTATTTTAAATTTATTTTGTTTTAATTTAATTTCATTTTTATTTTATTTTATTTCGTTTTATATCATTTGGCTTTCATTGATTTTAGTTTTAGTTTTACTAGTGCTAATTTTTATTTTTTTTACTTTATTCATTTTATTTTATTATATTTTCTTTATTTTATTTGGTTGTATATTACTTACATTAATTTATTTTAATTTTGTTTTATATTTTTAAGTTTATATTTTTTAATTTTTTTTAATTTTAATTTCATTCAATTTTAATACATTTAATTTTGTTAATAACTCATTTTATTTTAAATAATTTTGTTTATTTAATTTGTTTCATTTTATTTGAATTGATTTTTATGTATTTAATGTAATTTTTTTCTACTATTCTTTTCATTATATTTTATTTTATTTTTGTTTATTAATTTAATTTCACTTTGTTTTATTTATCTCATTTTATATAATTTTAATATTTTTTTTATTTTTTAATTTTTTTTCTTTTTTATTTTTTTTATTTATATTTTATATTTATTTATTTATATTTTGTATTTATTTATTTTTATTTTAGTTTATTTATTTAATTTTCCACTGTTTTATTTAAATTTAGTATAATTTACTGTTTAATTTTATTTTGTATTAATTTACTCTAATTCCTTTTATATTTTATTTCATTTTTAATTTTATTTTATTTCATTTCATTTAAATTTTCTTCTTTTTTAAAAGTGTATTATAATAATATTATTGATGAGTGCATAAGTTCGTGCCCGATTTCAAGTGCAAACTAAAATTGAAATTTTTTGAAGAAAGCGCTTTTATTAATCAATTATGTATTCGCCATCATGTTCGGCAATCAACTCCCAACGTTCACCCAATTTACGGATGCCTGATTCATAGAAATCGCGCGGTTTCTCGTTGAAAAAGGTGCCAAGGTGGTTTTTGACGTCTTCCACATTTTTAAATTTTTTTCCATTCAAATTGTTCTGCAGCGATCGAACCAAATGATAATCAGAAGGTGCAATGTCGGGTGAATATGGGGAATGCGGCATGATTTCCCAATTCATCTCCTTTAGTTTGGCCAGGGTCGGTTTTGCAACATGTGGCCCGGCGTTGTCATGATGGAAAAGAACTTCTTTGCGATTGGCAAAAATCGGACGTTTTTCATCAATTGCTTTCTTCAATTTGACCAATTGCTGACAATACTTGTTGGCAGTGAGCGTTTCTCCAGCTGGCAAGAGCTCAAAATAGATCACGCCTCGGATATCCCACCAAATGCACAGCAGTACCTTCTTCGGATGCAATCCACCTTTCGACATCGGTTCCGCCCCTTCGTGTGCCTGTTTCCATGTTCTTTTGCGTTGAACATTGTTGTACAGGATCCATTTTTCATCACCAGTCACGAGCCGATCCAAAAAAGGTTCGTTTTTGATCCGTCGAAGCAAAGAAATTGCTGTTGACATACGGTCCACTTGGTGTTTTTCACTCAGCTGATGTGGCACCCATGTATCGAGCTTCAAAGTGTACCCAACCTTTTTTAAACGACGAAACGCAGTTGATTTGTTGACGTTCAATTCACTGGCAGCCTCTTCCGTCGAAATACGTGAGTTATTCGCAACTAAAGTCCTTAGAACATCGTCATCAAGCTCAGAAGGCCGTCCACTGCGAGGTTGATCTTCGAGGTTAAAATCTCCAGAACGAAATTTCGCGAACCATTTCTTTACTGTACGGAGTGCTGGAGCACGGTCCAAATAAACTTCGCGAATATCTTTAGTTGCAGCGCCTACTGTTTTTCCTTTGCGGAATTCGTATAACATAATATGACGCATATGATCTTTTTCGTTGTCCATCTTCCATGCGTCTTTTCACTAAGCAACTCAAATTAAAATGAAGTTATTTTATGCTTGATTTACAGTTGGGACTGTCACTTTTCCAACGATATATAATATGTATATATTTCTTTCACGAGCGCCACTCTCAAACGATTCGAAAGGCATCCAGCGGAATCGGGCACGAACTTATGCACTCATCATAAAAATTTTATTTAATTTTTAATTCTTATTTATTTTACCTAATAACAAATAATAAGGCGCTAAATTTTGTAAATTTTTTTTATTTTATTATCTTTAATGTGATTTATTGCTTTAATATTTCCATCATTAGTTGTGCGTACATGTGTACATATATCCATATGTGATTACTTATTAGTATTTTTTATTATATATTAACTACTTAATATTACTTAATAATTAATGATTTATACATACATATACATAAGTATATGTTTTTACTGCTTATAATTTGAATTATATAGACCGTGAAAATATATGTACAAATAATATTTATAGTTTTTAAAATATTTATTTTTTTATATTCATTTTTTTTAATTTTTTTTTGATATTTATTTATTTGTTTTTAATTTTTTTTATAAATATTTTTGTTTTTTAATATTTTAATTTTTCAAAACACAAGTACACATCATTAAAAAGCTCATATTGAAAGAAAAAAAATACAAAGGGACAAACTGATATTATTGATTCCTACACGAATATACTAAAACAAAACTACAAATGTTAAACTAAAAACTAAGAAACACAACACATACGTACATACATACATTATTGAAGAAAGCATAAACAATTTTGTAGCCAAAACAAGACTCATATTATTACCAGTTGCTGTGTAGAGAAGTAGCGCAAGCCGCTTAATATACATACGTACATACATACATTATTGAAGAAAGCATAAACAATTTTGTAGCCAAAACAAGACTCATATTATTACCAGTTGCTGTGTAGAGAAGTAGCGCAAGCCGCTTAATATACATACGTACATACATACATACAAAAATCAGCGCGTCAAAATTGCGATAAGGACTTCAATACCATAATTTTTCATCTATAGGCTCTTTCACTGTCTGATCGACTCTTTAAATTTGCTATAAATTGGATGAGCTCTTTATTGAAATTTGTATGTATTAATTGGAGAATCGTAATATATGTACATATATATATAATTTGTTTCTATATTCATATATAACACACAAAAAAGACTCACATTTGTCTGCATATACAAACATACTATATATTGACAGACGTATATATATTTGCCGTCACTTACATATGCATATACATATAAATTAGTTTGTATGTATAAATATTGGCATGTTTGTAACTCGAAAATGTAGGCGCGTTAATCAAATACATATATATTCATTTACATACATTCAAATACATACATTTAATGCATTCATAATTAATAGAAAAAGTTTATAAAAAGAAAATGAAATTAAAAATTCATTCACAAAAATTTAGTAATTAATTTATAAAATGTAACGAAGAAGCATATTGTCATATACGAATTATATATACATACATATATACATACATGCATATGCATATATACATACATACAGTTTAAAAAATAAATAAAGTCAAACTTATTAAAAATCGTAAGAAATGTAAGCGATGTCTATTTGTTTAATTGATGTTTACTAATGAGCTTAAAGAAAATATAATTTGAGGTTAGGTTTTTTTTTTTAAATAACACAATGTAAGATTAAAAAAGTCGCTTTAGCTGAATGGAATGCTCTTTAGTCTGTAATGAGTTGCCGTCGAGGTCATTCAGTGATAGATTGGGACACAGTCTTAGGTTGATGGAGTCGTACAAAGCTAATGAGCCAACGTCTCTCAGTGGAGAAAGTTTCAATACCTTCTCCAAGCGTATGATGCGCTATCATCAAAGGGCCCAGCACTAGCTCGACGCTTCATTTTAACAGAAAAAGGTTCAAGAAGTTATCAGAAACCATAGAGCCTGCGAAATCCATTAGCCATAACGGAAAATGCAAGCTGGTACTAAAACAACTGGGCTTAGTTGGTAAAAATTTTCTCCCGAAGGTGCTCAACCTGCTTCTGACCACTCTAATCAAACGTAATATATATGAAAATTGTAAATCTGGAGACCTACCAGGTAGCGAAGACACTTGAGACCTTACTGCTGACGGCTATTACCAACTATTTGAGTTTAACAGCATAGCAGCATGACTTTCGTATAGTCCACAGTTATTGCTAAACGCCATAAACAATCAGATAAATCATGGTCTTAATCGCTCCTAGGCAGCAGCTGTTCTGGTAACAGTGGACTTGTAGAAATAGGTCGTCTCTTTGCTCTTATTTGCTTATGACTTCTGGATGATGGAGTTAGATCAGGATATTGATAACCTCTCAGAGCTTGCCCACTTCTATACTGCATGACAATTACAATTATCCTTTGCGAAGCTCGTAAGGAATTCTCTTCAATTTCTCAACAAAGGTGTTCAGATGCGCCTTGAATATTAACGTCAATGACATCAAATACCGACTGCTTACAAGCCGAAGTTAAAGGTAGTGGCATTCGACAGTCCATGGGAACGATATATTGCTAGCAACATACGAGACCATCACTGACAGGTCATAAATTAAGCCATACCTTTTTGAATGCCGCTTATGATCGAGGCACTGAAGAAGAAGCTGGAAGCCTTTTCGATCACCCGCTTGACGATCATAAAAGGAAGCCGCCTTATGCACACCATCTAACCTACAAGACATCCATGCTCACAGATTAATATCCTCTGCTTAAGCTCTACAAGCAGTCTCGCGACAAATCTGAAAGAAGTATTGGACTCCGCTCAGCAATTTGTTACAGAACCTTCGAACTTAGCCTCATAATTTCTCATAATTTAAACGCCATTAACCGAGAGCTAGTCAACACCTTCAGCAACTCCCTTGAAGTGAATAACGTCATTCGAATCCAACCACCTGCCGTAGCCTTCGAAGAGCTGAAGCTGCCACGTGAGACTCGAGCAATGCTGGTACCACTACGTACTGATTACTGTAATAGATTCAACTCCTAATTATTCAGACTCGGGTCCAAGTTAACAAACGTATGTCCTGCATAACCTATATCGCCTTGCATGACCACTAAAATCTACGTTTACCTTTGGTCTGAGCCCGTCGAGAGAACTCGATACCTGGGTCTTCCATTAGCTGACCTCGATTTCATTGGACTAACTTTGCTTTAGCTTCTAAACGGATCTAGCCAGTATAAAAATAATTTTCTGATTGCGCTCGCCCCACAGACAGGGGGAATGTAAGCCCTCCTGAGTGTAAGCCCTCCTGAGTGTATTATTGACCTCAAACTAAAGGAGGCGGCTTGGAATGAACTGTAGCTGTGCTGTGTATTGACAAACAGCTTATCACCTGCGCAAGAGTTCAACGATAATTTGTTGTTGAGAGAGTAAAATGTGGTAGGCGCCCTGACGAACAATGTGAAGGGGAATAGTTTAGCTACTCTCCACTTTATAGCCTGAATGCTGGACTCAATCAACTTGCTATATATTTTATAACTGCATACAGTTGCAGCAACATATTCCGGTATATATGTACATATGTATTTAAAATTTAACATTTTTCAATATTCCAGTTGCTCTTTAAAACAAAGCCATGTGAAGAGCTTATCAGCATGGATTTGAACTCGAGGGTCAAATGATCATCGGGCGTAAGTGAGCGAAAGCCAACAAAGTATTCTTTTTTGAGGGTGAAAAAAATATATTTTTCTGAACTAAAATTACAAAAATGAGCCATTAAAGGCTTGAAATTAAAAAAAAATTAAGAAAATCACCTTGAATATTATTTTTGAACGCGAAAATTATTCTCTTTTTTAATGAACACCGTTAAGAAACCAAATGGTCAACTCTTATCAGTTTCCAGTAGCATCTTCATATAAGTTTGTATGTATGTGTGCATATGTATGTATGTCTATAGGCGACACATAAATGCTCCAATAAATTATGTTATCAACATTTCGCATGCATACACATGCAAATATGACAAGCATATGCATATACATACATACATACGAATTAATGTATAGTTCCACACGCTCCATCATGCCTTCCATGCCCAGCTTCCAGTGCCACTTTGTGCCTCATCTTTAGATTACAATCATCTTCATGGCATTCAGTCGGAGCGCGTACGTCGTATAGAATAGAAGCATTTAATGAGCTTTTCAAAAACAACTGTAGATACATACATACTTACAGACGACATACTTGGTTGCCGCGTTACGCGTTAGCGTGACCAACTACGCTGCGGTGGAGCGTTTTTAGCTAAAAAATTTTATTTTTCTAATTTCTGCTGTAAAATTTTATTGTGCCAATGTGAATCACAACAATCCACTGAGAATTTATAACAACAAACAACAAAAAACAACCGCTATAAAACTTAAGTGTAGCAAATTGTTCATACATATCATACATATGTATGTATGTATATTTATAACCGTGCATAAATTTTGTAAGACATAGAAGAAAAAACAAAAACAAAAATAAAAACAAATGAAAATGCAGTGCCAATTACTCAACAAGTGTAACTTGACATTTTTACTGTTATGTTTAGTGGCGTTTCAATTGGCGGCATGTTGTACGCGTGCACCAACACATCTACCGCATGGTAGGCGTTCGCGCGGCGACAATGGCTATAGATTAATTGTGGCCGAGGGTGATATTGGCTATGTGCCGGGCGAAACTTATAACGGTAAATACTATATATATGTATTATATAAAAAAATGTTTAACATATATACAACATGTAAAAAATAAAGAAAAATATATATAAAAAATAAAAATATATATAAAAAATAAATATATATATAAAAAATAATAATATATATTAAAAATATTAAACAAAAAATAAAGAAAAATATATTTAAAAAATAAAAATATATATAAAAAATAAAACTATATATAAAAAATAAAAATATATATAAGAAATAAAAATAAATATAAAAAATAAAAATATATATAAGAAATAAAAATATATATTAAAAATATTAAACAAAAAATAAAGAAAAATATATTTAAAAAATAAAAATATATATAAGAAATAAAAATATATATAAAAAATAAGAATGTATATCGAAGCTCG